TTGGGAGGAGGTGATAAGACAGGATTTAGGACTTCTCGACCTCACTGAGGATATGGCCCTAGATAGGAACCTTTGGAGAACTAGAATTAGAGTAGCTGGATAAGAGCTCGGTGTTGTAGAGGTTGTTTTGTAGTGTGTTGTATTTGTTGGGAATCTTTTGCTATTGTTTGTACTTGTTGCTTGTACTTGGTGCCTTATCTGTGCTATACTGTGTTCTCTTCCATATTTTTGTGCAGGTGGAGCCGGGGGTCTCTTGGAAACAGCCTCCCTACTTCCGAGTAGGGGCAAGGTCTGCGTACACACACCCTCCCCAGACCCTACTGTTGTGGGATTCAACTGGGTTGTTGTTGTTGTTTTGTTTCCTTTTCAGGCCGTCCACAATTAATGTTCCCATTTCTAATTTTAGAAACTTTTCTTTGTTAAAATGTCTCAAATACCCCCCACTTCATAAACTCTTTTTCTTATTCTTTTCTCCTTCCTTTCCTTCCGCAGCCCCTCCCCACCCCCATTTCTCTTTTCCTCTTTTCTTCTCTTTCTTTTTCTTCTCTCCACGATTCTTTCTTCTTCTTCTTCTTCATTTCTTATTCTTCTTCTACTTTTCTTTTTCTTCCTCTTTATTTTCTTCTTCCCTCCCCCCTTTTGTTTTGTTCAACCGGCCGATGTTTCCTTTCTTTTTTTCTTCTCATCTTCTTCTTTATTTTCTTCTCCCCCTTCAGATTTGGTCATCAGATCATTCAAATCTCCATCAGATCTAAGAAATTTGCTTCAGATCTGGGTTCGATTCAGATCTATGAAGGAGGTCAACATCAACAAAGGTTCTTCTTCTTCAAGTCATCTTCATCTTCAAATATTTTTCATTTTCTTCATATCTTCGATTTTTCTACTTTAGTGCGGGAATAGCTCGAATATGGCCTTAAAGATTGCCTGCGAGAATTCTGAAATGTTGAGGTTGGGAGAAATTTCTCCCTAGAAATTTGCTCGATTTTGTCACTGGAGTTTTGCTGTCTAGTTCTGGTCTTCAGGATGATGGGAGAGGGGGAGTAGGCAGTATGGGTGGGTAAGTGGGGCTAAGGTGGGGGGTAATTTTGGAAAGTCAAAGCAAATTTTAAATTTTATTAAACTCCGTGCCAAGTCAAAGTGGGAACTTTAATCTTGGACGGAGGGAGTATAAATTTTTGGTGTTTAGTAATTAAGACCTATTTTCTATTAATAAGAAATTCCCTAAAAGGTAAGAACAACTATCTACATGTTCATCCATCTTGCTTATTGCTAAATTTAAATGGGAATTAAACCCCATACAGTCAAACACTAAAAGCAATACCTATCCACTGCTTCAACTCATTGCTTATGGTGCTATAACTCCAAGTACTGACACCTACCCACAAACTGAACCGGCCGAAACCTACATTTCCATAGGTAGTTTGGCTCGAGGTTAATGCGTTAAAAAAACAGACCAAACCCTAAACAACCAACTAGAAAAAGCCAACATCCTAAAGAACCAACTACAAAGGAGAGGAGGATCTGCAGGTTCATCTCCTTCACATATGAGCAGCAACTTAGATGTATTCATACACATATTTTCAAAGAAGCACAATATTAGGGAGATAGGAGCTCTAGCCCAACAAGATGCATGCCCAACAACAAACGTAGTGAAATCTCACAAAAAGTAGGATCTGGCGAGGGTAGTACGCAGACCTTACCGGCTTCATAAAACCAAAACCAGTTGAATAAAACTGAGACAAGTATTCAATGAACCTCTCTTGAACTCCAGGTTTAGAAAGTATATGTGTGTGTGTGTGTGTACTACCACATTCAGTGGAGATCATAGCCCATCACAATCCAGAAGTCCATATTTCATAGCAGACTACAGCTTCCGGTGAGAGCTTCTTTTGCGTTCCTGGTCAATACATTGTTCTTGGAACCCAATAATGTCAAGAAACACGATGGATGCATGGGATTCGCAATTCTTCCAATGGACCATGCTATGGGCACCCAACCTTCTCAAAGACATTCATAGACACCTGTTGTTGTTCAATGTTCGTGAATGTCTATAAGAATAAGAAGGCCATGGTGAAGGGTGACTTTAGCAATTTCCCCTTCCAATAGTCTTCCTCAGTTCACAAGGACTTAAGCACAGGATAAGATAAACTTGCAACTTCAATACTGTTCCATTTATTCAAACAAGCTCTTACATGGATTCCAAAAGTTACTTAAAAGGAAAATTAACTATAAAAGCTGGATGTTCAGCAGTGTAAGTCTAATAAATCTCAAGTTTCCTAAAAGCATAAAATTACGAGGCCTCCAAATCTTAACACACTAGAACTCCAAATCTCCTTATACAACATATCTTGTCATCAAACTGCAGTTATAGAGGCTTTTCACTTGCTTGACATCATCCCAATCCAAAATGGTCTGGCTTTCAAGTACGCAGTGCATTCCATGCAGCCTCTTTGTCCATTCAAAATCTGTATGGGGAACAAATTGGCATGTGACCAAACTGCTAATTCCATTCCTCAACGATGGTTCTCATGAGGAAGAAACAGAGTATATGACTTCTAGAAACCAGATTTCCATAAGAGCTCACTTCGCTAAAAGGAGAGATGCATAGGCTCATTTGTGAAACATTTGTGGGGAAGGTGGGGATGAAGAGGGTGAGAAAGGTAGGAAGAAAGTCTACCTGTTCATAACATATGCCACTACCTAAGCAGTTTAATGAAAATAGCGTAGACTACAAAGTATTACTCACCTCAGTAATAAGATCTAGAACCACCGCCGCCCATATAGCCACCTCCACCCAGATCACGACTAGAATAGAGTGACGAATAAGAGCTGCCACCCATCTAATTTAAGCAGGAGAAAAAACGAGCCATCAGTCAAGATATCAATATCTAAGGAAATACTTTATCTGCCAAAACAAAGAGTGGAGTTTTATAACCTTTTTGAACCACACAAAAGAGTAAATTTTTTAGTCAAATTTTATTAATAATTTGTAATTTCACCTCTCCAAATAATTTTGGGGAAAACTAGGGGTATTAAGTTGCCATCCATAACTTGACAAAAATAATCTATCATAATCAAACATGACTCTTTTTTAGGAGGCACTAATAAGCTTGGAGGACGATGAGATAAAAGCATACATCACTGCCATGAGACATGTAATCACCACCATAGCCTGAAGCATACATCCCACCAACATCACTACCACCATAAGAACCTGACAAAAGAATTATTATTCAAAATAAACCAAGAGCAAAAAAATGCTATTTGATCAACTAATATCCAACAAGTTCTCAACACACCTCTGTCATAACCCATAGCCTGGCGACTACTATAAAGTCCATGAGAATCTTGATGAGACATAGAACTTCTGTTTCCGCCATATCCAATAGGAGGCTTTCCAGGTCTGTTACAGTGTGATACAAGATTATCAAGCACGGTACAAAAAACAAAAGTTTTATCTGCTTGATTATATCTTTGTGTGTGTGTACATGCATACACAAATACACAAACACACAAACACATAGATATTTGTGTGTAAAAAGACACACCTGTCACCATAGGAACCCTCGTATTGAGAAGCACTGCGTCCTCCATATTCATAATCTAAACGTGCACGAGAACGGCGAACTCCTGCCTCAACATATCGAGGAGGAACATCATCCTGCTATCCATATTAGAATAAAAATCAGTTCTTTTTCAACAACAGAAATGACCTACACAGTGGATTCCCACAAGTAAAAGAATAGTGGTAATAGGCTAAGAGAAGACAATTATATCATACAACGCATTAATAATGATAATTATTACTCTGTATTATAATAACAATAATAATTGTAATAAAGAGAATTTAAAAGTTAACACGTTTTTACTACAAAATATGTAGAACTCAAATGAAAATAAGTTTAACATTTTAAAGGTTGAATAAAAAGGGGCTAACATGCGAGCCAATGTTCAAACAGGATGAACCAATCATGTTTATATTATGGACATTAAAGCAATGAGTTAGTTTACATCAATTGGGCAGTTGAGCGAGACTAACAAACACATAAAAGCATTCAAATGACTCCAAACCCAATAAGGCAAGAAAATCAGATTATCAAATCTCAGGACAAAAGAACAATTTGATCTTAATGGAAAGTGACGGTAGGGGCTATTCAAGGTGACAATCTGAGGTCAGTGATATGAATATTGGTTTGTCTAAATCTTGGGACATCATAACCACATAAATTTACCCAATACTCCATAATATTTAGGTCTGCATATTTTTAGGATTAGTAGAAGGAAATATTAAAATCAAACAGGAAATATTAAAATCAAACCATTGCAGCATATGCACGTTTTGAGCCAGATATAGAGTCATATTCCCGAGCACGGCTATCACGGTACACTGGAGGTAGTCTTTCAAACCTCTGTTCGTAGTCATCATCAACATATGCTCTCCTTAATGCACTCCTGGATGCTCCTCCTGGAAAATCAGCATAGCCAGATCCATGGGGATCATATTCATCTCTATAGGATGAGCGTCTGTCAGAAGGTACTCTGAGAGCATAATCCATTGTGGCTCTGCTACCATACTCTCTCTTAGAACTACTTCTTGGATATGCATGACCTGAATGATACAAAGTATTAATTAAAGTTAATGTAAAACGTGATTGGTGCAATAGTAAACACAGCATAAAAGTATACCAACCAGGCGGTCTCCTCTCACATGGCCTGCTAGGCGGAGGAGCAACAGGCCTGCTCCTGGGTGGGACAGCAATGGCTGCTCTTCTATCTCTGTAACCGGTGGATCGTTTAATGCTGCGATCAACCAAAGGTGGCCTACGTGGACCAACTCTTCGTCCATGAATGGGGAGATTATGTGGCAATGAGCGCCCCCATGGGGCCCTAGGCACTCGTGCTGGCCTGTGGCGAGGCCTCATATCTCCATGTGAATCACCCCTGCCTCTGTAAAGGGGCCTTGATAATCTAGCTCGAACCTTAACCTGAAAGGGGGGGTGAGCCATTTAAGAGGAAGAAAAATTGGTTTGGTATAGGAAAAATGCAAGATATACTAAAGAGTCAGAAAACAAACCTACCTTACTATCTCCTTCTCCTAGCACAGAGTTATTAATGGATTTAGCACAAGTAACTGCAGCATCATGTGAATCAAATGTGACAAAACCAAAATCCTTTCTCTTGGCAGATGGCATGTTACGAGCAAGCTCAATCTTTTCTATCTTTCCGTATTTTTTGAGAAGTTCAGACATGTTGGCCTCATCCCAATGGGATGAGAGACCATCTATGAAGACCGTTTTGACCTGGATAAAAAATTATCAGTAGGTAGATTGATCATGAATTTAAAGAAAAATCACAACAAAAAAAACAAAAAATATCCAAAATACACAGAGTAAGAGAGAAGGAATGCAATGCAGACCACTGTTAGAGGGAAATAAAAAGGGTAGCTATAGCTAGAGCATAATGTCCACTATAATACCCACATTCATTTTCCTTAATTGTCATTTTTGCAAACTTGAACTTTAAATATACATTAAATGTCTTCCTGCATTTCCTTCAGCAGCTGCATGCCGCACATACCATGCTGGGCATATAGTCCTTGAAAAGAAACATCCCAACTAGAAACGGAACAACTCCGCCTTCTATGAAGTCAAAAGTGTAGGCGATAAGTAGTTACCTTAGCCATAATTTCATCACCCGGGTCAATGAATGAATCTGCAAGGGAAACCTTGGCAGGCATGTCAAGTCCAAAAAAAACATTTCTCTTCTGAAGATGTTTAAAAGCATCCATGGCATCTGAACGAGAAGAGAATTCCAGGAACGCAAAACCTCGATTTGTTCCTACGTTATTTGAGTCCTCCACTAATGTCAAATCATCAATGTTCTCAATGCCATAGTGCTTCAACTTTTCATTCAACTGGAAGGGCAAAGTGCATATGAAAGTAATAGTTGTTAAGCAATGGTGTGAAAAATATTCTTGATGATAACAATACGAATTGACCTAATCAACTTACAGCTTCCTTTGTCCATGTTTTGCATATGTTACCTAGAAAGAGTGTGTCACTGTCTTGACTTGGAGTTACACCACACTCTTTTCCATTAACCTAGAACTTTGGGTGTCAGGACAATATTCTTCATAAAAACTTCAAATCAATTACCTCAAGAACAACAGAATCAGGAGAATACCAGTGGATTTTTTAGCTCTGTACAAGCACGCTTGGCTTGTTCTACTGTTGCAAATTGCAGAAAAGCAAATCCCTTATTCTTCTTGGTCTGAGAGTTCATCATAAGCCTCACTTCGGTAATCTCACCAACTTGACTAAAGACCTTTCTAAGATCATCTTCGGTAGCACCCTTGTCCAAGCCACCAATAAAAATTTCAAACTCCTTACGTTTGCGTCTTTCTTTGACCACTTCATGATGTTCTTCCTCCTCAGCTGCATCAACCATTTCAGCGTGTTCCTCCCCGTCTTGTTCTTCATCATCCTCTCCCTCAAGGTCCTCATTAACATCTTCAACCTCCTCAACAATATCACCTTCATCCTCATCACAAACATATTCCTCCTCGTTATCTTCCATCTCATCACCCTCTTCTAGATCGTCATCATGTTCACTTACCCTTTCTTCATAATCAACACCAACATTTTCTTCAGTTTCATATTCAGGATCATTGTCCTCCAAATCTAACTGTTCACCTTTCTCATATTCATCAACCGACTCTTTTTGTTCAAACTCCTCTGCCATGGAAAATAAATATGCATCCAGGACAGTCAACAGATTGAAGAAAAAACAAATCCATAGTGACAAGATGATTACATGCTTAGCCACCTTTTGCACTCTAAAAGGGTTTTTATCTAAATAAATACTCCAACATGAGCTTAAGGTCGCAACCATGCTCAACTATGAGTTTCAAGGACAGCAACTATGGTATCAATGTAAGACTTAAGCATACAGCACATTCTGCATATCTACCAAGAGTGGCTCATACTACCGTATATGACGTGTTAGGATGTATTTTGTTTTTCTATCCATATGATGGTTATATCATTCAGGGAACTGTAAAATCATAATAACATAAATTTATCAAGTCTGGAACAACCCATGGCACAAGTCAACAGAAACTACCACGGAAAAGATTTGGGCTTTAAATAAAAATTCCACATCCAAAACTGAAAAGTGAAGCCGGGCACACAAAGTTGTGTTGTTTGAAATATATCAAGTAAACATGCAAAAATCAAACACAGACCTCAGCTTTCACCAAATTAATGAAACTAAATGAAACAAATACCTCAATTACCCAAAAGATGACACCCACAGAAATAGTTCAAAGTCCAAACGCGGGATTCAGCATAAAGTGATCTAAATCGTAAATCACAACTAAATAATACAGAATATCGCTTACTCTTATTAGAGAGGGACCTGCATGCCTCATAGTTTTGTTCCTCCTTGGGATCTTCATCAGTCCCAAGAGGCAATGACTTATGCTCAATGGGCTGAGTGTTTTCTTCAATATTCACCACCTCTTTAAGCTCCACCGTTGTTTTCTCAGTCTCTTTAGCTCGGTCTGCCTTCAAAAGTTTGCCAGGCAGTTGTGGCTGGACTTTGGATGCAGCCCGAGTGACACGAGACTTTCTCTTCATTCCGGGACCAGCTAGCGGCTTTTTCGCTTTTGGAGGCATAGTTCTTTTACGCAAATAATGATTAAAACTTCTGTAAGCCAAAAACCACCCAGTAAGGTTTGGATTGCAAATTTGAAAAACTGTATATCTATCTATTCTATCCATACACAATAACACAGAATCACAGATTCCTTGCCAATTTTCCAGGAAAGAAGAAACAATGCTGTGATTGCTAAAGTATCACTACAATTATTTATAGTGTGATCTATATTTTTTTCTTTAGGTTGCATTTGGTATAGATTGAATCAGGATCAGTTGGGATGTGGAGAATAGTGGCTGTATTTGATTCAAATTCCGGCTATTGTTATTCTTGACGCCAAAATATGATTTTTACAACTAATCTATGGCTTGATTCTCTAAAATCAGCAAAAGAATTAAACAGTTGATTCTTAAGGAACGGCCAGAAATTGAATCCAAACTGAACGCACCCTTAGGTGTTTTCAAATCAAACCAGTAAATATAGTACTCCTTAATAATGAAATCTGATTTCGAGTTCCAGAAATATTTAAAAAAAGACAAGCTTTTCGAAAAAATGTACTACCACCAAGAGAATAGAGGGGTGCAATCATCTCGCATTCTATAAAAATTAAACCAAAATAATCGTATTTTCTCCCCAGCAATCCTTCATCCCGGCCTGTTTTTTTCTTTCTGCTAGAGCAATCTTGAAATTTTAAAAAAAAAACTGAGAAAAAAATACAGATTCTCCGTAATAAACACTCATTAATACTCACACATTAATGAGAATATCTAGGCGAATCGTTCTGTCATGCTTAAAAAACAAAATTTAACTGGTGAATTGTAACACAAAATTAAAAGAAAGCAAACTGTTGGTCTGAAACGTGAAAGATCTGTAGAGTAGGTAGTGTTAGGTATACATCTCCCAGAACAAAGGGCTGAAAAGGGTTTCATATCTGGATAATTGAAACAAGGCTGAAGGTTTGAGCTAAGAATAATAGAAAGAGAAAAGATTGAGGTTCGGATCGTAGAAAATAAAATACCAGGTCGGATGGGGAAGAAGAACGGCGAGTCGATCGTCGAACAGCAAAAACTCCCAAGCCGATGGAGGGAGAGAGGAATCAATCTGGAATGGAATGCTACTAGGGCTTCAGGCCGGATGTGAATGTTGAGAGCCCATTTGCCGGTCCGATTCTATGTTAGTCAGATTTGGCAACATTACAAGTTAACCCTTTTTTTTCAATGGAGAGCATTAGAATTATGTTTAATCATTGATGAGATTAAATATAACTGGCTAAGTTTACTAGGATTCATTTCAAAAATATTTGTAGGGATAGAACTTTGTGGTCGACTGCCTTGTTGAAATTTGAACCTTCCAAAGTTTCAGGATTGAATTGACATGAGGACCCCCCAGGAAAGCGTTTCCTTGAACAAAAATAGTTTTTCTTGTGCCTTAAAGTATCAAAATTAAAATTGCAGTTATGTTTTCATTTATATTTTATATGTATTTTAAATTTTAAATAAAGTCATTTCCCTATACACAAATTTGGTAAGAAAGAATAATAGATACTCCCTCCGTCCCAAATTATAATGCATGTTTACTATTCACAGGGTCAAACTTCATTCACTTTCTTTCTCTATTTTCGTTAGCAATTTGATAAAATAAAATATTATTGTCACTACTAGTTTTGTAGATCTTTTGATGTAGTTTTTTAATATGTAATTTTTATTTTCTAATTCTATACCATTTGTCATATAAAATGGTTTGAAAATAATTTCAGTCAAACATCGTAAACCGAAACAGGCGTTATAAATTGGGACGGAGGTAGTACATATTAGTAATTAAAAATTTATGTTGAAATGGTAAGTAACACCAACGTGTAATTTGGCCAAAAATTTACATTATAATTTTAAAAATAAAAATTCTAAAAAAGAAAAATAGAATAAGCAAAAAGCTTTTCATAGTATAAATATGATTATTCGCAAAGACTTTCGTAATTAGTTTCTTTCGAGTTCATTTTCAAATCTTTGCTTTTTCAAAATCGTCATGCGAACAAAACATGATGATCTAAACCGCTGTAAGAAATATTGATGAGAGGTCATCGTTTTTATGTTAAAACTGAGAGCGATAAGAGTTTATCATGTTTTTGTCCATGCCGGGGGGGCCGAATTAATGGATTATATTTTTCACGACATAGAAGTTAGTTCTTTCATTAATAAAAATTTTAAATACGTATACATTAATCCATGTGGTAATCTGAAACCACATAGATACAAAGTCGCTATTCTAAGACTATCATTGACATCATCCGATACAAGAATTCCATTCAAGTTTCGAAGAAAACAATTTTCTATGGTTACTCTGTATGTAATGACAATTAACAAGAGTTAGGGGTAACCACTGAAACATGTTAGATTATTGTTACGGAAATCGGTATTTAGCCATGGGCAACTTTACTTTGCAGTTTTAAGAGTAACAAATCGTAGTAGGTTGAAGATTTTAACATGCAACGAAGACAATGTTCCCATAAATTGTACGAATAATGTTGTTTATGAAGAAGTCTTTCGAAATTTATAAAACACAAATGTTTTGTACCTTAAAATAATATAATGCAATGTCTATTTCTATCATTTTCTAGCATTGAAAAATGATCTTAATTTAGTAACGTAAATATGACACGTGCAACACACGGATATGATACTAGTATTGAATATTAGAAGATAATTTTCTATTTTTTGAAATTCAAAAAACATACAAAGTAAATTGTAAACAAGTTGTCTATTCTCTGATTTTTTTCAGAAATAAATAAACTTTTCAAGTTTGTAAACACTGTTTTTTTTTCTTTTCAAAAATGCTAGAAAACCCACCAAGTTTGACATCACTCATCAATGCAATGGAGTAACACCACCTGAATGGAAATAAGTGCACAATGACAATGAAAAGCATAAAAGGCTAGATAGATTGAGCTTCAGAACAACTAAAATTTAGATGGAAAATGCTTTTTTTGCAAACCAAATTTTGGAACTCTGTTCAATTATTTGAGCATCAAACCTTTGACTATAACAAATTTAATAACTTGAAATTTCAACAGAGTACATTATTAACACAACAAATATTCTTGTAAATTTCAAAAGTGTAAATTAAAGATTCCGAAATCACGCGAGACAACTATGATACAGAACACATAACAAGAAGATACGGGGGAAAACAAAACGCTCTTATAACGCCTCCTTAAAGTAGATCTCACTCTATACCTTGGATGGCCAAGATGCTTGAGCTGACATGATTATTCCCACAATAACACCAAAGAGTCCCAATGCGCTGCCGAAAATCTCAATCACCAGAATCTTAACAAAAAGGGTAGAGTTTTGGGCATCTGATAAGGCACAACTGCTCCCAATCACTCCAACACACAACCTTTGTTACAAAACAAGGAAAGACAATAAATAGAATGAATGAATAAATGTAGGGAAAAAACGAAACAAGGCATCTCGATGACATTTGTTCCAGTGTGTTTTTTCATTAGTCGTTTGATAAAATAAAATAATCTTGTCACCACTTGTTTTGTACTTCCTCCGTCCCAATTTAAGTTGCCTATTTACTATTTACAAGATAAAACTTTAATCACGCTCTTGACCTATTTGAAAAAATAATATAGCCTTTTCACCTCTTGTTTTGTAGAACTTTTGATGTAGTTTTTAAATATAAAAAAAAATTAAATTCCTTGCCAATTTCCATATACAACAACAGGAGATTTTTTTTAGTTTTTATGTAGAATTTTTTATGCAGATTTTAAACATGTAAGTTTTATTTTTTATTTCAATACCAATTCGTAAATAAAATCATTTTAAAAAAGATGGGTTTTTGTACTTAAAAACAAAATAGGAATTATTTTTGTAAACGGAGGGAGTAGATGAAAAGAAGAAAAACACATTCAGGCCTACCCGCACACAAGATTGGCAAAGCCAACTATTATCCCTGAGGCGAAAATTGCATAACCAGCTGTGAGGGATTCTGGTGCATAGATCTGGGATGCAGGAACATTCTCAAGCTTTGTTTGGAGAATGATAGCCACAATGACACCATATATAGCAACTGCCTCACAAAAAATTACACTGGAAAAGGAAAAAAAATCAGATATTAAGGTTTGCAATCCCATTGGAAATTCTAAAATTTTATTAATTAAACTTTCCTTAATAAGTATTTATAACAATAATCCAAGTATAATCCCGAATTTGTTGGGGTAAGGGGTCAAGATGTACGCAGCCTTAAACCATAACAGAAAGCTTGTTCCCGTTGGACCCTTGAGACACTGTTGCATTTACTCTACCCAAAACTTCATAGAAATTAGATGCAACAAAAGGTAATGTGTCATTTTGATTTAGTCCATTAATTACACGAAGATAAGTATTTTACAAAAATGACTCTTTCAGCTCCAATGGCATAGTGATGGAAATCTTTAGTCCAATTTGAAGAAATAATCAACTACTCAAGCTATGCTGGAAATCAGTTTTAGCCTTCCATACAAGCTCTAAACTTCATTCAAGCAGGTGGCAGCCTACTAACGCCACTTGCTTACCACCAAATATAACAACTTTTAAGCATTACTATTTTAACAAGAAAAATATAATGAATAAAAAATCTATTCATACACAACAAATAATAGTCTCTCTACTTCAGAGTAGGAATAAAGCCTGCATACACACTCTCCCTATACCCTACTTTTGTGGGAAGTAACTGAGTTTGTTGTTGAAACAAAAAATGAAAACTACAAGGCTCACCGACACTTTAAGATAATAATACAACCAAAGAACAGGAAGCTGGATAGCTTCTTGCTTTCTTCTAGTCATGAACTATGCCTCGTTTTTAAAAAAAAAAATCTTATCAACCCTCTTGCAAATAGCAACGCAACCAAGACATAAGACAGAACTTTCATGATTCAAAGAATGAAGCATTAAACTCCGGTTGCATTAATCAAAAAAAGTATTCCTTCAAAGAAATTTTTCTTGTAGTTCACATGTGCTCAGACAATTTTTCTACTTTTCTATGAACAAAAATATACTGCCATTAAGACCATAAGGAACAAAGATCGCTGGTCAAAATGAGACAATAAATAAATAAAAACTGAGCATAAAATAAAACACAATTGACTGTGATCATCATGCTAATGATTATCTATATGAATAATCCATTTCAATTCAAGGTATGAAATTTGTTCTTTCGACTTTCATCTTCATGGATCTGTCGCTTACATAAGGCAGGGCACCTTCATCTAATTGGTTCCCAACATACTTTTTTTTTCTCGAAAAGTATTAAGCGTTGTGATATTCCATTTGTATTGGACACAATACTTTAAAATGTGAATTCGCAGTTTGCCGTGCTCATGAAGGTGAACTTTTTTGTTTTGTTTTTTAAGGAACTCATGAAGGTGAATTAATTCAATCATTAGCTAACTACTAGTGTAGTGTACAAGGGGATATCACCAGGTACTTCTACTATAACATCAAACCCTTTCAAACTGAACCTTCTAACGAGAGGAAACACAATGTATACATTGAAACAGAAAAGGAGAAAGATTTACCTGATGAGATTTTTGGAGGTAATGCGAGGAGCTTTAATGGCAGCACCAATCAAACTACTTCCAGTTATATAGATCCCCCTAAATTGGAAATTCATAATTCAATTGAGAAGTTTGAAAGGGGCCAGCGTCCAGAAATCGACATCCTAGTGAATCACAAAAGGGCGAGAAGAAGATGATGCTTACCAAGCAGCTCCTAAAACTGAAACGCCGATGGAGATGGCAATTCCGATCGCGGAAAAGGTGTAAGGAGAGATCTGCGTCAAAGCTCGCGACCATGAACTCGAATCCCCAGCCATGAAGCTCGCGACCATGAAGCAATGGTGGGTACGGTTTCTATCGTTGATTCGTTTGGGTTCCAAACGGAATGGAAATTGGGGTTATGTCATATGTGGTTGAGTTTGGTTTTGCACAAATGAAATTTGCAATAAATAAGACTAAAACATAAGTCATTTCTGTACTACTTAAACCTTTTTATTTTCTAAATAGAATTTAATAATGTATAATGAAAGAAATAATGTCCAATAATGATGGACATTTACTTGAATAATGACTAATTGATAATGACTAAAGATCCTACACTGGAAAATAAAAACATATGGTCTTATATTGAAAAAGCCATTATGTTTTAGCCATATTTAAGTAAATTTCTCTAATTATTAGCATATGGATCATTATGATACTATGGGTCTGTTTAGGAATAACATTAAAAATTAATGCTAACGTTTTGGATAAAATTCTAACGGTGTATATTATATAGAAAATGCTAACGCTAAATGATGCCCGTAATTTGTAGATTGTCCTTTCAAAATGCTACACTAATCTCTAACGTTATTCCCAAAGATGCTCTATATTTGGCAAAGATATTTTGATCTTTGCCTTGAGAGACATTAAAATGACCTCATCTCAAAGAGTATTCAATTGTTAAAATTGATGATTCTTACTCTCATAATTTCTCCCTAAACACCTCACATACCTCCTACATTCCACCACAGCACCCCCTGCCTCTATTGACCGTCGATTTGGCAGTGCCAAATCAGCAATCTGGCGGGGTGCTGATGTGGGGTGCAGGAGGGAGGCAAGGGGTTTGAGAAAGATTAGGAAACATTAATTTTATTAATGGGGCACTGTAAAGATCGTGTGTCATAACTTATAATATGACCTTGAATTTCAAGGTAAAAAAAACATTGTGTACTCTATATAGTATATAATTGATATTAATTCCTTCAACACACATAAAAATGTCAATCAAATCACTATTAAGTGAAGTGTATTCTAATAGTTTTCATCATCTAAAATATGAGTAAGATCCCAAAATGACCTTTTTCTAATTATATATTATTCCAAATTATCCATCTGAATTTACAATTATAATACTTCTTTTGCCCCTAAAAGATTGTCAGAATTTGACTTTTTAGTCAAACTATAACACCTTTGACCGTGAATTATGAAAAAGTATATTTAATTATGATGTAAATTCAGTAAAATTGGATTTCTTTTAAAATATGATTTTGAAAGATCAAACTTTTATAATATTTAATTATTTTAAACTATTTTTAATTGGCGATCAAAGGGTGCCACAGTTTGTGGCAATCTTTTAGAGACAGAGGGAGTATCATACCGATTGCCGAGGGCTACCGAAGAAAAAAATACATTTATAAAGTATCATTTGAGTAATTATAATTTACTGAAGACTATCAAAGAAAAATATCTTAGATACAAAGTATTATGTAGATAATTATAGCTTATTAAGAACTTATTTTAAAAAACTCCTCATTATAAAGACCATCTAGAAAACTTACTCCTATTTTTTTGAAGTAGGACGATTCTTGTGACATTGAGCTAAATGTTATAGGATAGTCTAACCTCATGCAGAACTCCGTTGGTAAAATTGATGATTTCCTTAACCTCTCCCCACCATCCCGCACCCCTTCCTATTTGATGATTGGCTATAGTGTTTGATGGTGTAAGTATAGCTGGGTGGGTTGATCGGGCTTGACCAGGACACACTCGACCCGTAGCAAAATACACACAACAGGAACACAAAGTATGACCTAGACTGGGTAAATCTCCTCAGCCTGAATTATATTTCTTACTCTGTCTCAAGAGTGCACTTTTAGTGAGAGAACAATTGGATCCCTCTTCTATCCATAATCATCATATTTATAGAGGAGGATTTGTGACCTTTCCATGTTCATCTATGGACAAAATAGGAAGCTCGTGGGAAGGTCACTGTAGTTAATGGGAACACTGTACAATCATTGAGTTCAATAGCTACAAGCCAAGACACTGTTCAATCAAAGACTATAAAATGGATATTCTCAATCCAATCAACCCTGCAAGATGACAAACATCCCTTTTACTGTATGCCTCGTGATGGATGAGCGGCGGGGTGGTCCATCGGTCTTTAACGTGGTTCGTCATGCCTAAGAGACTGGACCAATGTTATCCAAGTAATGTGATATGACCGATCACCTTTTCTCAAAGGTTACCCGGTAATTTCTTGAGCTCAACCCGTTTCTTTGGTCTTCTGAAATATCCTTCGTAACATTAGGTGACATTTTGGCTATCGCCCAAAATGTGACCGATCACTTTTTTAAGGGAAGTGACCGGTCAACTTTAGACTCGTCTCAATCGAAGAGTTGTCCTCATCTGGTGATTGAAGAAAGTGACCAGTCATATTTTGACCTGTCCCTTTCGGTTATTCGGGCCGGGTATAAGGATATAACCATCAATGTTGAAGTCAATCAGCGAAGGAATGGAGTTAGGGGTGCATGGGATAAGAATCATGAGTTTTATCAATGAATCTCGCAAAAAGATTGAGTCATACTATTACATTTAAAATAAACTAGTGCATCTCCCGTGCGATGCACGGAGAGATAAGTTTATCACAAATTTAAAAAATATGAGAATAGTTGATGCTGAATATTATTTAATTCTCGAAGATCGGAGTGCCAACTTTCAGTACTTTGTGGTTCAAAATTCCTGAAGATCTGATTGAGTTCAAATACTCTTAGGTGTGTAAATCCCCAACTAAAGAGGCATTCATATCCCCGAAGATCTGATTGAGTTCAATTGAATGTCTTACGTGTTCCTTCATATCCATAAACAAAAAACATTCCACCAATGTTCTTTCCAAATGCTTCCATGACAGAGGAATACACGTGTCTTTACTCGTTGGTTAACTTTGATAAAAGCTGAATATGCTCGTTTTTCAAATGACGCCGATCATAACACATTTCATCGTTAATCAATCTATTTTCACGAGTGTAAATAATCGGCTCTAGGATATGACATTTCTTGAGAATTTTGCAAACTCCTACCATAACCGTGGAGTAGCATATTACCACTATATCCATTGGTCAAGTGAAAATATCACGGGAAAATAACAATTAATAATGATATATAAACATTTACATCTACATGGATTTTGGTTTGTTTGAATAACGCCAACTTTAAGTGAACTATATGTTGCAATAAATTCATGTATTGCCTTATTATATTATTTTAAACATGTATTCGTTAGTCATTATGTCCCAATTTTAGGATCCATTTTTGATATATTTCTTAAAATCAATTAATAATTACATTTTGAAGCATAATATGGGTTTATATAAAATAAACATTTCAATTGTACTCATTATAATATTGGAAAGTTTAAAAAAATAAAAAGGAAGCCTATTTTAGGACGAAAAGAGACTCAAAATCATTTAATAAATCACTCATTTCGTCACATTTAAATCCCCATTTTTGGTTTTCAACGTTTTACTCAATTTAATTTCAAATCATTTTATTTGAAAAAAGATATAGAATTAAAATACAAAAATTACATATTCTAAAATTGCATAAAAAGATCTACAAATATAATGGGGACATGACTATATGATTGAATAAAATCACAAAATAAAATGAAAAAGAATTTGATTAAAGTTTAACCGTGAGAATAGTTCACATGCAANTGTACAAATCTAAAGAACTTGCTGTGCTTTTAAATTTTTAATATATTTTTGTGGATCTATACAACGGTAGACGTAGCAGGGTTAAACACTGGTCGAAGAACATTTCATTAAAATCTCTATGTCTTCGGAAAGCTATTATCTACACTTTTTCATCTTTTTTTAATGTATAAATTATATTTTATAATAATAATGGGAAATTTTTCATATATGATATCAAAATTAAATGAAGATGTAAAGAATAATTATACTCTTGTTTGTCAGTTGTTTCGTTTGGTTCCACATATTTTCCCAGATTTTGCTATTTTCTTCATCACTGGACCTTTCCAGAATTTTCAATATACGTTTCTTGAAAAAAATGGCTTTTTAGATTAATTTGCTAACATTGTTGTCTTCAAAAACCTGTAAAAGAAGAGCATATAAAAAGTTAGTAATTTTTATTAAAGGAGCATATATTTTATATCCTCTTTCTGGTTCATAATTTAAAAACAAATATTTCTAAAATTGAAATATAGAACATGACCATGATTCCATGAATATAGAACATTGGAGCATTTTCAAAACTTTCCAACGCATTAATCTCTCCAAATGGTTTCAGATTGAAAAAATGCCTAGGGAATTGTTCATCCAAAATCTCAACAACAGTTGTCCTTTTACCAAGTGATAACTTAAATTTGTTTGAAACAATGTGAGGCTTGTTATTTGATAGAATTGCATGATTACTTATTCTATATAACTTCCCTTCTTTTAGTGTAGCTCCAAACACTGGCATTTCATCCTTTTGATAGATTGCAAGGATGTGGTTCCCTAATTTTTTTTCCAAATAATTAATACTATATTTTAGAAAAGTGGCTAGCCACACGAGTCTTGAAGAAAAATATCTCATTATCGTGAAAAATACACTCATGTGCATAAACTTCTTCAGCATTCTTGTAGGACATTAGATCGTAGGAACAAATTTATCTTAATTTTAGATTGGCCCAAAGGTAGATGGTTTTAAATCCATCAACCACGTCCAAAGGGCAGGCATTTTTGAAAACTATAAGGCTAATTCTTATTAAATCAGTATAGTGCAAGAATTTAGGGGAATCTAATATAAAAGTGGAAGTGTGTGTAGTGTGTTAGATTGGAATGGTATTTATACACCCAATGGAGTGTGTTGGGTTACAACTTTAACACAGGGATTTTATGGAAGAGATGTTTTCTACTCCGTATGTACTATGAACTGACTTTGTTGGTCTTTACCACTTGTAATGGGTATTTGTTGTGTAGTACAGGGACCATGTTCATGGCATGTCTTGTAATTTATTGATTTCATCATATTTTTGCAGCACTTATTTCCTTTACGAAGCTGGAATCTTTTTAATAAATAAGAGGCTGTGATGAATGGTTTTATATGACTTGAATGGCATAATATATGCTGGTTTCCCTTCTTAGTACTGACTGGTCTTTAGCTCCTGTAATGGATATTTGTTGTGTAGTATAATGACCATGTTCAATGTATGTCTCGTAA